TACGCAGGCCGACCGTAGTAGCGAAAGAGTTTTAATTGTTTGAACTAGTCCAGTTAGAGAACAGGGGGGGGGGGGATTCTTGTTTTTCGATTATTCGGGAGAAAGGAGGAGTTGGAAGCGTGCGCATCTTTCCGGTCGGAGAGATGTAACGGCGACGGCCGAAACAGAGCGTGGATACTTAGCGAGGCAAAGTGTCGCGTGTTGTAACTTAAGATCGGTTTGCTGCTCCCACAGTGTAACCCAAGAGCCTTCTTCGGCTTCGGTTTCCACGCTGGAGAAATCGGATAGGACGGGAGTCGCGCTCTACCTCCGTCCGTCTTCTCTCCTCCCTTCTGCTTCCTGCTCTTCTTCCTCCTCTACCTGCCCACGAGGCTCACCTGCCTCCTCGTATGCATGCATTGACCTCGTATTTACATTTGGGAAGGTTACGAGAGGATCGCAAGAGTACGTTGCAAATAATAAAACGTAGGATGGCGACGTAGGAGCGGAAAGGAGCGTCGATCGAGAAGGAAATTTTTGAAGGCAGAGTGGGTAAAAATCGTTTCTGCTAGAAGCCTCGTTCCATGAAACAACGGCCAGGAAGCGTGCCATTAGTCTTAATGCGCTCCAAGTACGCTTCCCTCGAACGGTCCTTTGTTTCTTCCACCCAAACTTCTTCCCTTATCGCGATATAACTTCACGGCCCGATTTTTCCCGATTTTCGCTCTCCGTGAGACCGCGCTTATTATTATTATTATTCCCACCTGAGCGTCGACCCGATTCCCATTCGAATCATCCTTCGTGCTCGACCGACCAAGCCATTCTCTCGCTACACCGTGATTCTGTTCAATTTTCTCTTCCACTTAACCGAGTGAAAACCTCTTTTCGTTGGAGAAGAAGTTGGAGATTGCGAACCAGTTTGCCAATTTAGCGGGAAAATTTCGCGAATCATTTCCTTTTTGGCCGTTTTGACGAAGGAAATCAATCCCTTGGAGGAGGGCCTCCGTCAATATCCGGATCGAGGACGCGCCCGATTTAATCTCCACCGATGAACCCGCGTGATTCCCGGAGCGTAACTCGGTTAGGAAGTTGGATTAATAGAAACTTTTCCCTCGCGAAATATGAGCCAGAGAGAGAGAGAGAGAGAGAGAAAAGTTAGTTAGCGCATATCATCCATCCTGGGGGATATCGGTGCAAAACGGAATATTTTTTATTTCTCTCAGGTCGCGATTTGCGTCAAGGATAGATTGCAAGAGAAAGTAAGGAACGAATAATTTGCTTGGACGCGTGAAATTGCGCGTGATAATGTTGAAATATTGGATTAAATTTGCGGGGAAATTTACGATCTTATCGCGCACCATCGTTTACGATCAATTTGATCAAATTCCACGGTTCGCTCGTCTCGGCGCATGCATTATTCGTACTTGCATCCGATTGGCCTGAAGTAATGAAGTTGCGTTCGACTTTCCATGGGTTGCGCGTCGAGTAAAAGCGCGTTTTCGTCGGAACCATGCTGCTGAGTCACGAGAAACGTCTTGGTGCTCGAGGGGAGGGGGAAAGGATTGGAAAAGTCGCGATGATCGTTGACCGGAAAAATTACCAGCCCGTCTTCTCCGTTTTCTCCCTTCGCGAGTAGAGAAAGAGTACGAAAAGGGAGGGGAAGAAAGAAGGAGAAGGCGTCGATCGAATCGGTTAATTTCGCATCAGCCACGCAGGCAAAAAACATACGCAACGGGACGAACCGTCTCTCCGTGGAGAGATTCGCGCGAGAAAATTACCTGTCTGCAAATTCTATTGCCGAGAGAGAGAGAGAGAGAGAGAGATATTTCGAAGGTAAATAAGAACGAAAGAGTCGATGGAATCTTATGCTCGATTTTATTAGAGTTTTCGTACTTTATCCGCTCCGAAACAAATCCAAACATTTTTTCCTCTCGATGTATACCGTTCGTGTTAAAGTTTTTGAAACGCCGTGATTTGATAATTATAATAAATAAATCGTATTTAAAATATTGCATTTGAACAACGTGAGATTTTCGTCGATGCCCACATCTTTTTGATAAAAGATCTTGGATGAAACGAGAATGCGAGCGCGTCGTATTTTTATTAATGGATCGTCATCTGGATTCTTCTACGTTGTATAAGAATCACATGCGAGTGATTCTAATGTCACGATACGCAGAAATCGCGACTGTCTGTCGCCACAGATGAAACGTTTAAGTTTAAGAAGTCACCGACGAAGTAAACAAGATTGCGTTTTTTCTCGTTGCTGAACAAGCAAGTATATGTCAAAGGGTTAATTTTACAGAGATATAAGAAGGGAATGCGTAATAGGAGACGTTGGCAACTTTACGTTTTTATTGTTTCATCGGTGACGAAACTTTGGTGGCGAAAGAAAGCGAGAATTCTTGTGAAAGAATGCGAAATCGCTTTGAACTTTCCCGAGACTTTTCATACTTGCGTCTCTCTGTATCCGCGTAAGCGAATCCACTGCGCTTTAACCCTTCTTTAATTAACGAAGGTACAACGAAGCTAGAAGGTTCTCCGCGCAAAGAGAGACGAGCTCTTCTTCTTCTTCGTTCCGAGACATTATCTTTTTCCTCGAGAAACGTTTGAACTCGGCGGCCTCTTTTCTCCCGCGCTTCTCTAATCTCTCTCAAACCGAACAGCCGGTTAATTAGAACGCGCGCGCGTTTTCTAATTAAAATGTACACGCCACGACGAATTCGTGATGGAAGAAACAACCGCCCCCGTTGGCGGGGATTCAAGGTTCCGCGAGAATATCAGCCCCGGTTGGCCCGAGTTCAATATCGCGAATCGAATTAGACCGAATCGAAACAACATTCCCTGCGTTTATTTAAAACGAGTCTCCGAATTTGAAATTAAATCGACTTTCGCGTGTCCTCGCCTCTGTCGTAGTAACGCGAGTTAACATCTCGAGACGGAAGAGAGGCCTTCTCCTCCTCCTCCTCCTCCCTCTCGTCGCAGGTAGGACGCATCGTTAATACGTAAAAAAATCCCTTTTTACCCTTACGAAGGCGCACGATGGACCACGTGTTGAGAACCTTGCCAGTCGTCATGGCAACCCCCGTCCGATCTCACGGCCGACGACGGCCGTTCCTCGCACCCGAATCAGGAACGTAACTTCCGCGTCGTTGGCCCTTTGTTATTCCCGGATCGACCGATTCTCGCCATTCACCGCGGCCGAGAGAAAGCCTTCTCTTCTCATCGTCCTTTTATCTTTCCTCTCTTCGATTCATTCGTTTCAAGTCCCTTCGAGAAGTAGTAAACGGTTTCTTCACACAGTACAGGCGGGGTAATTGGAAAGTATAACAATAATTCGGTATAACATATTTCTACGGCTTTTGGAAATATGGTGGGAATAGCGCTAGTGTGGATAATGAAACGCGATTATCGAGGTTACGACTCTCTCTCTCTCTCTTGGAAAGAAGAAATCGATCGAAATTTCTAATCGTTGAATCACCACGGTGCACGATATCCATTGTTATTACGGACGATCGCCTTTTCGCAATTTTTCCCTTTCTTCCGACGCGAAACGTGTCTTTCGCATTTAATCGAACCGTTGCGTTTAAGAGAAAAAAGTTGAAACGAAGAAAAGAGGAGGAGGAGGGAGGTTTGGTGGACGGTTTCGGCGCATGTTTCCCGTCTAATTAAATCGATACACCTGTCTCGGTTACGAGGCTCTCGAGCGAAACCTCTTCCACCAGTCAATTAATCAATTACGTCGCGGTGGAAAAATCGATACGTCGCGACGTAACAAATCGAAAAGCATAATTTATTTTACGAACAGATTTGATTTCACCTACGAAAGAACGATGGACGAGTTTTTGATTTCAGCCTCTCTCTCAAACGGATCGAAAATTCCTTGGATCCGTACGGTCCTGGAGATGGATTCGCAAACAAGGTCCGAGACAGGCCGTCCAACTGTCAAACGCAGAGGACAATAGAGCGCGATAGGGGTGGCGGTAGTCGGCGACTTTGCATACGTCAACGCCCCTTCGTCCGATATATTCGACCCGGCAAACTTGCCTCCAAATGATACTCGCGCTTCGACTAAACGCGTAAAGTGACCGCATTGTTATTCCCTCGACCAGAACCAACCCTCCTCCAAATTTATCGATAAATCTCACCTTTGTCGATCGGCGTATCCTCTCTATATCTCCTCCTTTTGCGCAACGTGATCTTCTCTCGAATACTCGCGCTAACGACGGATTGGTTGGGTTCCCAGGAAACGCGCCGCAGAAAAACTCGCGTCGTTGATCTAGCTGTAGACGTTTCCGCGTAACGCGCCACTCACTCTCTACGTTCCGACGCGTGGTACACGCAGTTAGCTCGTTGCGAGCAAAGCGAGTTTCCTTGTCCCGATCTGGCCAGGTGATAAACCGATTGATGAAAAGGAGGGGGAAACAATTGGGGAGAGGAGAATGGAATCGTATAAGATAGGAGAGAACTTTAACGAGAGCATTAATTAAGAGGGCGATCGTTTTACGCGAGCACGGATTATTAAGATATAATTAACCCTAAACCTACCACGGCGCGGACCGTTTTTGAAATTTCGTTTAGAATTTCTTTAGAATGCAAACTTACTGTATCGTTTACTTTGCGAATCCAATTAGTTAAGATCTCTTTCTATTATATTAAGATGTTTTTTTTTTTTTTTGCATTTGACCGGTCATGGTAGGAATAGGTGAATACATGAAATGTCGGTAGGTTTAGCGTTAAGGAAGATTCTCGTCAAGTCGATCTCGCTTTCACGAATCTCGATTCAAGTTCCCTCGCGAGATAAATCCATAGATCGCTTTAATTGAATTGTCGGTTCACAAGGCGTGCATCGTAGTTCGACCGAGAATTTACCGTTCGCAGTTTCTTCTATTGCTAGAATTTCTTTGAAAGGAAAATTCGGTAATTAACGGTAATCGCGAGGGCTAAAAAGGGTGTTTCCAGGGACGAGGAGGCTAATCAACGACGCTCGACTAAACGGTCTGTTTTCTCTGTGTTCGCAGGAGCGATGTGTTCCTGGAGCCGTATCTGCAGCAGCACGGGACCGTTCAGGTGGTCAGCTCGCCGAGCACGCCTCCGCCCAATCCGCTGCAGCATCATCAGCTCACGCAGCTACATCATGTACAGGTGAGCAAATCCTTAGGGCGGAGCGAAGAATGGATCGATTCGAATACTTTGCGCAATCGAGGGATACGGTCGCAATTAGCCGCGAGGGTGTTCGCCACGCGTCGCACGTCCTCGTTTAATCCGTTTAACCCGTCGGTCTGCATTTCAAATTGAATTACGCTCGAAACTGCGCCGCGCCGCGGAACCCCGAGCTCTCTCTCGTCCATCGAGAGAAGGAAGAGAGGGATGGCCCCGCGAGAAATCGAAAAATCGCGCCAGTTGATCGGCGTTGTCGCGTGTATCCAGTCTCTTTTCTCTTTATTAATTTCGAGTTGCGATCGAGTGAACGATGAAGTAGATTTTATTTAGATTCGGTTTACTTGGGTGATCGGAAACGGAGAGATCGATTTTCTCCGCTTCGTGAGTGGTAAAAAAGAACGAGGGTATTCGTTTTTTTTTTTTTTTCTTAACCTTTTCAGCGTTCGCAGCAATCCGAATTGCTTGAGCGTTTGTTGAAAAAAAAATTGATGATAAAAACGAATATCGATGCTACGTTTCCAGAGAAAGATGCTCTCGAGTCGCCTGTACTAGCGAAAGGGTTAATAATATAAAAAAATCGGCGTGGGAATCTCGTACCGAAAGTGTCGTGGATGAAACGCGTATCGGTTCGAGATCGTGAATCGATGGCAACGAAGGCAATTCTAAGGCGAACCCTTTCCCCAATGGTTGGCGAAGCCAACTGGAGCAAGACCTTTGCACTTGAACAGAAACGCCTCTCGTGCTCCGACAATCGTGGCAGAAATATCCCGTTGAATTGCTCTCGTTTCAACGAAATTGCGAAATCCGTACGGAATAACGTTTATTCTCGTTTCAAAATAATCGCAATTAAAAAAAAAATCTCCCTTCCTCGAAAATTTTCAACGATCGATCGAGCAGAGTGTATCAGATGTGCAAATAAGTTCTTTCCCCTTTCTTTCCCGAATTCAAGATTTTACTACGTTCCAAATCAGCTGATATTCGCCGATATTCTTCTCGCGTCTGGGTCGGATTTTCGTCGAACGATTCACGATCGTCGTCCTTCCGGGTCTCGAATCTTTGCTACGACTTTTCGCACGTTCCGTGAGATACATTTCCTAAGCTGGAACGCGAACGCTTCTCTGCACAGGACTGAAAACTCTTGGAGCCACTCTTCTTAAAAACGAAGAACGGTGCTTCGGACGACGCCACGAACGGTAAAGTAATTCGAATTCGATCGTAGAAAAAAAAGGGGAAGGAACTATTTGCATATCTAATCATTTCCATGGAACGTCACAAAACTATTGCATAAATCCCTATGATTACGAAAACTTTGAAAAAAGTAGATGGATACATCGATACACAGCAAATTCTCGTCGCGACACTTTCTAAAAACGAAAGAGCCGTGTTTCGTCGCGAACGGAAAGCGAATTCGAATTCGGTTAGAAATTACGATCGTAGAAAAAAGAAGAGAAGGAACTTATTTGCACGCCTAATAATTTCCATGGAATGTCACAAAACTATTGCATAAATCTATATGATTACGAAAACTTTGAAAAAAGTAGATGGATACATCGATACACAGCAATGGAAACTCTCGTCGCGACACTTTTTAAAAACGAAAGAGCGGTGTTTCGTCGCGAACGGAAAGCGAATTCGGTGGAAAGTTAGGATGGTGGAAGAAAAGGGGGAAGAGAGAAGTTATTCGCACGCGTAATAAAAGGAATTGGGAAATTATACTCGTATAATTTTCCTGATCCACACCGTTTCGCTACCACGCACGTTAATTCCACGTGATCGGTTAATCTCGATCCCGCGACTAAAACCGCGCGAAACCGGCGGCGGGGTGGGCGGAGAAACGAGTGGACAAAGTCCGCGATTCGCGGAGCAAAGGTACGCGCTTAAAGGCCCGTAAGCCTCAATTTCGAGGGTGTCGGGTAAATCCTCGGGGCGATCGTCGTCGTACGCAATATAACGCCTAATGCGCTATTATACCGCGCGGGTTATCTCAATTTGCAGCCAATGCCCCCTCGTCCCTTACACTCGCCGTTCAAAATCTCCTTTTCCCTCTCTTTTGCCATCGTCGCTGTTGTAACCGTATTTCTCCTCGTCTCGTGCCAACATTCGCGGCGAATAATGCTACTTTTCGAGGAGACGAAAAGAGGAAGAGGAAGGAAAATTAAAAGAAGGATTATAACGGAGAATTGATGTTTTCAGAGCGAGGAGTCGCTTTCCTCGGAGGGGTCGGCCACCTCGGGTGGATCTTCGAGCTCGACGGAAGATTCTGGCAGCGAGGTCGCGTGCGACATCACTCTGATCGAGAGGCTTATACGCTCCCATCCGATCTGGTTCCTTCCTGGCATCCAAAGAGCAGGCGCTTTCCACTTGTTGCAAGGCAAAGAGGAAGGGGTGAGTGCACTTGAGCGAATCGATTAGGCGTAAGAAAATTGCAAACCCTCCTTCCCTCCATCAACCGGCCAAAGTATTGGAAAGCGGGTGCCTCCTGCATTTCACAGAGAGACAGAGAGAGAGAGAGAGAGAGAGGATTTCGCTCGAAAGCTGCTCCTTCCGGACCAAAAATATCATCCGCGACGAGAGAGAGTTTTTCTCCGATTATCGTTTATACTTCTTTCCTTCCCTCCCTCCCTCCCCTCCCCTCCCCTTCCTCCTCCCCCCGGTGTCTAGACTCGGGATTATTTATCACAATGGGCGAGATTACGCGGAAAATTTACAACTCGCCGCGAAGAAGAAGGCTTGGAAAGGCTTGATGCGCTTCTGGAAGAAGGGAGGAGCGAAATATCGAATATAATCGATTGTCCCGCTCGATCGCGTAGGGAAAAACTACTAACCCCCCCCCCCTCTCCCCTCTCCTCGAAGGCTTTGATCACTCGCTGATTCCGCGAATATTTCCCGGCATTGTTGGCCGAAATGAATGCCTCGCTCCTTTTATTCGCCGAGACACAATTCATCCAGTATTCTTCTCCCCAATTTCAACGCGGCAATTTCATCCGTTGATCATCCGCGGATTCGATAAAAGGGGGGGATTTTTTCCGAACGTCCGTCCGTCTCCTTTCCTATCGGAAGGAATTTACTTGAAATTTATTTTCTTTTTTTTTTTTTTCTCAACTCGAACGAAACCGACGATTCGAAAAAGAGATCGGTAGATTTTTGGATCTGTGGGGCCTGCATCGGCCGTTTGGGGCAGTCGGTGGATGGTTTAATGCGCGGGAGACGTGCCGTTGCCCCTGACGAAATACGGCCGCCCTAAGCTTCTGGCTGCGTTCCAACCCGCCAGAAAACACGCATAACAAGTGGCATTGTTAGCGCGCTTTTCTCGCGCGACGCACTCTCCCCTCCCCCGTTTATTCGCGCGCATTTGTCACGATCCGCGCGACAAAGTGACGCTGATCTCTCCTCCTCGCGAAAACGCGAATAGAAACACGAAGAAGCCACCTCTTGAACCGATTATCCAATTTTTCGTCCGATTCTTTCCACCTTGTCCTCGAATTTCCTCCGCGGTCGAGAAATATTTTCTACGACTGCGTGTTGTATGCGTGTTTCGAGCGCGTACAAATGTATGAAATATATATGTAAAAATTCGTAAGAGTCGCGGATTCCGTTCTTTCGAAAACATTTCCTCATCTCTGTCGATGAAATATTTTACGCGTGTTGTAAAAGTCACAATCACGGCGAAAAATGATAGAGAATCGATAACAAGATAAAATTGATATCGATATCTTATCTATCTATAATCTATAATTAATTTGTTGTCTCATTATAAATTAATAATCTCGAATGATACGCTCGATTACGGGATCGATCGAGTTAGATTTTCACGGGTGTGAAACATATGCGGGGAGAGAAAATTTTAATCGTGAATTTCGACTTTGTTCGATAAAAAAAATATGAAATTTCGCCCGACGATAACAACGTTAGAACAATCGTCGTTTGTATTCGACACAGTTTTCCATCCGCCAGTCTTCAGCCAGCTGGACTCCCGTTCTTCCGCTCGTGTCAGATAACAACCGATCAAACTTCTCCATCTACGCAACTCCGTAACATCGCTTCCCGCCACGGGGCATTGTTTCCACGCGACGGTTATCTCCGTTGGCCGGCCGAGTCGAGTGGCGCACCAGTCATTTATTTATTATCTATCCGAAATTCGCGGGGAAAAACTAATGCCTCGAAATGATCACGAAATTTTTATCGATCGAAATTTATCCTCGTGGAGAAGAGAGGTAAAAAGTTCGAAAGTAAATATCGGTGGAGTAATAAAATTCCTGAGTGTCAAGAGCGAGGGGAAAAGGGCTAGGTCTAGGAACGCGAGGAGAGAGATGGAGAGCTGGCGAGGTCGAGAAGATCCTCTTACGGAATTATATCAAGATGGAATCGAGGTTTCCTCGCGATAAAGCCGCCAGCAGCAGGGTCAAGCCTTTCGTCTCGTGACTTTGGGAACGAGATCAAGAATGGATAAAGGCTCGGTGAAAAAAAATTAAGGATGGGGTCAAGATGGAGGAGTAGCGCCTAATGATGACCGGAACGGCGATAAGGATCGCCGCGAATCGGGTCAAGTGTCCGTTTTTTAACGTGGGAGGCGAACTTGTGCCTCTGCTCGATCGATTTAAAAAAATCGCCTCATCGCTTTCGATTCTTCGATCGTTTCGATTCGAGTCGAGTCGTGTCAGGGCTGGGATGGAAACGTTTCGAAAATGTGCACAGACATTTTACCACCCATCCTTGGCGGCGACGAGCGCTATTTTTTCTCCTCGCTGAATAACGGAAAACCGGGAGGCGATGTAATCAGTGGAGCAGGGGGAGGGGGAGGGGGGGGACAGTGGAAACGGCAGCGAACGAGCCGTGCTATCGTCGAGGTATTGTTTCCCCGCCGGCTCATTGTTTTCCAGCTTTGTTAATCGTCCCCCGCCAACCAATTGCACAGGGCCGAAAAACAATGCGGCTCGCAATTACTTCTCCATAGACGCGAGACGCCACCACCCCCGCCATGTTGAAGCGGTGATTGCGCGAGCCAGCGCATCCCCGGGAAGGGGAGGGGACGACTGAAATTATCGCGACTACTCTCGATACTGTGGATGGATGGATGGATGGATGGAAATGTGGATGGAGTGGATGAGCGCTCGGTGTGTGTGATTTTTTTCTCTTTCCTTTCTTTCCTTTTTTTCATTCCCTTTCAATACCGACTATTTTAAGGAAACTTTTGACCTGAGAGAGAGACGATCATCATCCCATTTCCCTCGAAACGAGGACAAAGAGGAAAAGTATCAAAAGGTTGAAATAAACTGTGCCTCTGTGAGGTGAGTTTTTTGTCCCGGTAAAAAAAGAGCAAGGGGGAAAAAAAGGGCAGAGCCGCGGCAAAGAAAGAGAAGTCGGTCTCTTCCTGCCTTTCTTTTTTTCTTCTAGACCTTTGTCTCGTATTACTCTGCCGAATGTCGCAACAACAACAACAACAACGACGACGACGACCACTCTATCGACGCGGACGTGGACTTCCGGCTGGAAATGTCGGGGAATTATGCAATGTGTTTTATGGGTCGCTGTTTTACGCGGTGTCTCGATTCGTTATTATCTCTCTCTCTCTCTCTCTCATAAGCGAGCGCAGTTGCGATTCTTTTCTCGAAACTTGGCTGGTCGGTTGAAATTTATGGAGCGGAATAAGGAAACCGGTGGATAATAATAATAAGCGTCTCTTTTCTTTTTCTTTTCCTTCTTTTTTGTTTGATCCGCGTTTCCATGGAATCGAGTCGAGTAGAAAGTAAAGAGCATAATTGGTATCGGAGCGTATGCGAGCGATATAAACGTTATTTGGGTGCAGATATGTATGTATTCTTATAGCACGTATATACGGAGAAAAATCTACATATTTCTGAGAGACAGATGGCGTACAATTGGATTTTCGAAACTTGAAAAACTTTTTATAAATTGCAAAAATTTTCAACATGTTGAAAATGCTATGCTATACATTGCCTATATAACGAAAAATATTTCAAATAAGTTAAATGATTTTAAATATTTTGATTATTATTATTACTATTGATTCATTTCTGAACGTATATAACGATCTGTAGAATCTGTATTTGTTTTCTTTAAACGTAGAATTATATATTATATATTAATTAATTAATCGATACGATTCGCCGTTTTATATAAAAACGTATCGTGCTTTATCATGGAACATTTGCGCGTAAATTTTCTTTGCGATATTTCTCGAACGAATACTTTCAAATATTAATCGAATTTCTGTTATTTGCTTTAATCCTACGAGCTTCTTTAACTTCTTCCAACGAGGATTGGCAAGAACAAAAAATATATAAGATCAGTGCCATCTCGTGTTTGGACACTGGAAACTTCGACTTGTTACTAGTAATACAGGATATGCAAGGAGGTATTCGTGACGTCACTGACAGAGAACAACATTGTGCGAGAAAGACAGTGATCTAATATTTTCTATCGCTACGTTAAATTGAAAATTAATTAATTATTAATCAGGTTTCTACTAATAATTTCTGCACTTTTAACCTTACGTTTTGAAGCGAAAACTTCGTCCAAGTTTCTCGTGTCGATTTTAATTTGAAATTCTCTTCGTTTAATTATTTATCAACGATTAAATCCGGACGGTCGCCATTGATACGCGATGCGTTTTTCCTTAATTTCTCATTGTTATTAAATTTATTTTTAAATACGAATATGTGTATTTAAAACGTTACTTCCTTCTGTACATTTACGTATAACGTTTATTCATAATTATACGTTTGTTTAAACGAATAAATTGATTTTTCATTATTCGATTACAAAATGGGGATTGAAACATTCTCTAACGATCATTAATAAATAAATAATTAACAAAAATTTCATGTTAGAATCGATACGAAAAATTTACGTGAAATTCTAGCTTCAAGATGCAATCTTAAAAGTGCGTGAATTGTTGAGAAGAAATAAGAAATTGATTGATTTTTAATTTAACATCTTCAAGTGATTGAAGATTAAATCTTCTCCATCCTTCTCTTTATCTGTGACGTCACGAATACCTCCTTGCATATCCTGTATTGCTAGTAGCAAGTCGAAGCTTCCAGTGTCCAAACGCGAGATGGCGTTGACCTCAGAAATTTTTCATCCGTCTAACTTATCGGCGGCAATGTGTACTGTATGTTTTTGTATCTCGCGTACCCTCGTGTCAACCGCATACGTAATACGTATAATAAATATACACGGATACCAGTTCACGAATTAAAGTTTCGTTTACCACACGCGCATACATATGTTTAAACGTTTGTGAAATAGGAAAGTCGAGTTTAAACTTTATATAAGTTTTATTAATAAGTTTTCTTCCGTCCTAAACTTGATAGTAATTTCTAGAAACGATGTGCATTAATTCGATGTGATAATTCGAAAAGTTTCCATTATTTCAACAAGTTTTAACGATTCGTTCGTGTTTGAACACGTTTTCTTTCGGACAGGAAAGAAATTTCGTTTCGACAGAGTCCAAGATTTTCGATTAATAAAATATCTCTTGGAAATGTAAAATGTAAAAAGATTACTTGGGAAAAGCTAGGTTATCAAGATTTGAATTCTTTCCAGTTTCTTTCTCCATGCGAATCCAATTTTTACGATCGTTATAAAAAAAAAAAAAAAACAAGAATAACGTAATCATAAAGATTTTTATCATCGATAAGAAAGTTTTCTCTGTTATGAGCGATCAAAAAAATTATTACACCGACATCGAGTTACTAGTTTTGCGTTGACAAAATATCTGTTCGAAGCGTTTCCTTGATTCCTTCCAATCGTGTAAACGTTTTTACTTGCTTCGAGTTGGCGCGTTAATAATTCTCTGTTTTTATTTATAGAACTTCGTGGTCCGGCAGTCGAGTCAGAGCGACACGATGGCCCTGTCCGTGCGACTGCCACCGGGAAAGGGACCGTACATCGAGCACTACCTGATCCAAGCCAACAAGGGGAAGCTGAGCTTGGAGACTAGCGAGAACAGGTTCGACAACATCCCCTCGTTGATCGCCCACTATTCTCAGTGCTGGTGAGTGGCCTCTCTTTACGTTCACTTCTTCTTCCACTCCACCGGATATCGTCTTGTCTTCGTTATCGCCACACTTCCTTCCCATTTATTCCCCGTACCCCATTAATCCCTTCTTCCAAAGGATCCAAAACAAAGATCGTATCGTAATGATTAACTATCAAATAGTCGTTCATGGTCTGCAGCCTGGCATTTATTATCGAATTATTATTTCTTTCGCGTGCAAATCCATCGCTCGTCGACCCAATCCGCGCGAGGTGAAAGTCGTACTTGCTTGGATCGTGTTCACAGATAATTTAAGCGGAGCTAATGGCTTCGGTGAAAAGTTTTTTCTTTTTTTTTTTTTTTTTTTCTAAAAACCGTGTTAATCCTCGGTTTTCGTGATAATCGACGTACCGTTTTTCCTTTTAATAAGTCTGATTAATGATTCATGAGCGTTCCGCCCATTTACCTTTCTATCGATCCGACCCGATAACGCGCTAATTGTTTCGTTCTATCCCATTTTTCCTTTCTTCCACATCTTTTTCTTTTGTAATTAAAGGCTGAAACTTTTTGCAAAACGATCATTTGGAACGTTTGAATCAATTCGAATCAGGATCGAACGATCGGGTTAATCGCTGAATTAATTAAATCTTTTAAAGAATACGAGAAGCGTGAAATCATTTTTTGGTAAAAATCTTTTTCTCTATCGCACGGTTAACGAATCGATCACATCCCATCTCGTCTCGATCAACGATTTTGAACGTTGATCCTTCTCGCCGCGACCGTTGATTCGCTCCGATCCATCTTTTTCTCTTCTTTTCTTCGATCGAAACAGTGACGAATTGCCGGTCCAATTGACACTGCCAAGGGCGATGCGCGAGGCCAAGAACAGGCAACAGCTCTCCTCGTTGGCGCTTCTGGGTCAGGAATTCTGGAGATATCCGATGGCGAATCCAAAGCCACCGGAGAGCAGCAGCAGTAACACATCTAGCTTGAGCAGCTTTCGAGGCGGTATAATATAATTTTGACGAGGAAGCAATTCGAATCTCGCACGAAACGATATGTATTTCTATTTATACATTCTTCTTTTTTCAGGTAACAACAACAATTTGAACAATAACAATAATAACACCCCGACGACGGAGAGCATCGTGCTAAATTTAGCTCCCATTTCGCCGCACGAGACACGTGAGTGATAGACGGATTACGATTTCGATCGAAATTAAGATCAAGCTCGATTTTCTTATTATCGTATGTTCGCGCAGGAGGCTCGTCGCCTACAGCAGCTTTGACCACGACGACGACGACGACATTCGCGTCGTCGTTGCCTCGACAACCTCGGCCAACTCCACCGAACACCCTCAATCTGACAACCTTCAACGAGCCTCTGGATCTGAAGAAAGAGAAAGTCTCGCCGGGCGACAAATTGTCGCAGAAACTGATCTCCCCAAACCTGGTCCAAAGCGTGAGATGCCCTTCCCCCGTGGTGCACAACGTGGAAAGCAACGTGCTCAGTCCGGTCCAGGATACCAAAGTCAGCTTCGAGTCGAAAAGCGTGGCGGAAACGTCGAAATCGACGGTGGTCGAACTGTCCAGGACCAAATTTTCCTCCGTCACCACCTCGAATTTCCACCAAAACGTGTCCACGTTCAACAATTTCTGTTGCGCCACGTCGCCCGTGCTGCCTGAAATCAGGAACATCGTAGCTGAGAATCATTCATCGGGACAGAACGTGAAGACGCCTCCACCTCCGCCCCCGAGATGGGCCAAACCGGGAAATCAAAACAACTTCAGCGTCACTGCCACGGTGACGTTCAATCTGAATCACACGAATGATGTCAGCAGTTCGCAGGTGATTCGATGAGATTTCTTTAAAAAAAAAAAATTCGTCTCTCTTCTGTCGCACCACGTACGACTACTATCGAATTTCCCCTTTTTCAGAACACTCCGTCGGATCCCAACACGTCTCTACTGAGCCCGCAGAGCGCCATGTCGAACAAATCTCTGATATCGAACTTCTCCGTGAAGTCACCCCTTTCGCCAACCACTCCTGTCCTCTCTCCGATGTCGAAGCTAGTCCCGAACACGGCCGTGAAGACGCCTAACGTTCTCTCGCCGACCACGCCATCCAGCACGAGCAAGTCGAAGCGGAGGCGGGACAGGGAAGCGCGAAAGAACTCGCAACACTATCAGGAATCGGACATCCTCGAGTCGTATTATCGAAGCTCACCCGGTGACAAGATATCGGATTACGAGGACATATGGAACACGACCGATCAATCGAACCATTCCACCTGGTCGCCGAACGACAAGCTTGCGAGGAACGATGGACCCGCGAATCCTCAAGACCGATTGAGAAACTCGAACGACCGGCTGATGGTCCCGGACAGGGTTGTTGTAAATTCAGCCGAGAGAAATTTGAACGAGCGACCGGCCACGAATGAACAGTTGATAGTGAGGAACGACAGGATGATCGTGAGGAACGACAAGTCGATCGGGAACGAGAAGTTGAGTTACAAGGAGACGACCAGCCCGGAATTCAGCAGCTTTAAACCTGTCCAGGAGGCGAAGTTCGTGGAGCAGAGCAACGGATCGCCGGAGGAAACGGGAATGGGAAGGAGACCCGACCTGTTGTCTCGAGTTTGTGAGTAAAACCGTCTTTGAATCAACCGTCTTCGCGCGAATCGATAAAATTTAAATACGCTTCTTCCTCTTCAAGCAGGCAGCGCGAATTCCTTGAACAGTCCCAGTACGGTAACGCCACCCAGGAATAAACTAGGTTTAATGCTGGCCAAGTCGGAGAGTAACAGCCCGTTGACGCCGGAATCGAAGCAAGGTAGCCCGTTTTATGCGGAACCAGCGGACGCGATCGCTCAAAACGCGGCTATAATACCGAGAAGGCGACCTAGGAACAATCCAGCGACGAACAAGTATCGACACAGCGAACCAGGCTGGCTGCAGACGCCTACGGGTGCGAATTCTAATCAATTGCACCCGATCGATTGGGAGGAGCCGGAGGAAACGGAGGACAAGACGCCTTTGATCTCCTCCTCGGTTGATAACCTAGCCAAACGGCTCGGCACTAAAGAGACGAAAAAGATTCCACGCGCCAAGCCTGTGCAACCGCCAAAGATCAGGACCAAGGTGTTCAACGATACTTCTTGGGCCGTGGACTCCAGCTGGGAATTTATCGGTCAGCTTTTCCTACGTTTCTTCCTTCTCTTGCGTTTCTTTTTTTCGAGAGAGTGTAATTGTCTCAAGTTCAATTCGTTATAACTTGGTATAACTTGTTCCTGTCAAATTCATTCCTCAAATTGAGATAAAAAAACTTTTGGTGTATACTTTTCGAATTATCGTTATCATCGATATAACACCTTGTTTCACGAACAAGAAGATGAAATCGATGAAATACGTTAGAATGCCTCGCCTCGTTCATTTGTTCAAGATCCGAAAATCGAATCATCAAAAATCCTCGTCATTCGTATAATTTAATCGTGGAAATAAATATTTATTATATTAAACGAGTTGGATGATGTTTGTACAGGCAACGAAGGGGACGATTGCGAACCTGACTACGACTGTGATGCGGATTACGAGGGTGATAACGTGGCCAGAAAGTTTCCGGACGAGGAGTGTGATAGGGACGTTGTTGGGAACACTTTAACCGTTCAGAGTATCATCCTTCAACGGTAGATCTTCAATTACAATTGACTGATAACTTTTACTCATAAATATACAATACAATTGTTGTTGAATGCATTGAATTAACAAGGAAAAATAAGTAAATTTAGATTAAAAAAAGAAAAGAAAAGAAAAACCTTTTTTCTTAAATAGACGATATTTATTATATATATATATTGTCTGTGTATCTTTCGTTCGAATAACGTTTGATAACATTATTATATTTTAATTGTTTCTCTATGATTTTTTGCGTATCGAACAAAATAGGTACCCAGAGTTGTTGAAACCGCCGGACACGTCGGAGTCGCTTTACAGCGACAGGAACTCCTCGTACGACAACGTGGAGAAGAGGAACGAAAGAGAAGAGGCTGGAGACAGCAGAAAGGACCAAATCTACGACTCCTCCGAATGGGAGACGCCATTGGAGACAGACGAAAGTGACGTGGAGAGGATGAAGAGGAACAAGAGTTTCAAAGAACGTTTGGATCCCCTTCTCTGTAAGTTTCCATTCCTTCGTTTATTTATATTTTATCCCTTTACGAAAAAAATATTGAAAAGTATAGAGTCATTTACTCTTATGCTATTTCTTTCACGAGATTGACCCTTTCCGTATCGAACAATTGTAAATTTAGATACAATTACTTAATACTTAATTGGAAATATTTGAAATTCTTCGTGAATAAATAAAGCATGGTGGAGCACGCATGTGGGACATGTATTTGTGAAATTATTTATCGACTAAACTATCAGCATGACTCAAAGGAGCATCGAAGTGCATTGCTAGCGCGTGGCAAGTGTATCGGAAATCGCATCGAGAAGGTCACGACGCGAATGGCACGATAGTGACCGATCGATAAATGTGTCATAGGAAAAAATGTGATACGAAAAATGTTTGTAATATTGCGACGTAACGAGTCGAAAAAAATATAACGAGAGATTTGATATATTTATATGTCATATATATATATATAATTAATTCACGGAATAAATACGATTCTTATACTCCGATTTCGTCGATCGTTTCACGAACGCTCGATGGATAATGCATAATCTGTCATTATGCTAATTATTATGCTCGCTTTTCGTCTGGAAGTAGAGATAAGAGGATAAGAAGTTGATTATATAGTTTCGAGATGATCTTTGTCTCCGACGGTATATCGTTATAGAAGCTTTATCGAAACTTTGTAGAAATTTGAAATTGTGTAGAACTGTTTGCGAATGGAAATTCAATAGAATGAAAATAGAAAACTTAAGAATGATAAAGATAAGAAAAAAAAAAAGTGGATAGATAAAAATAGAAGATCGGAGAATTATTAAAGTTTGGAAATTAGGATTACAACAATCGATTAATGACTTAATTAGTCACTTATTATTACTTATTAATTGATAATTAATAACTTAAGTTTTAACTTAAGGATTGAAAACAATTTTTCTAACAGTGCATCATAACTGATGAGATTTCAAACATTTTTACAAATATATACGTATTTTCCAAAAAATTTTCCATAGTTCCATAAATGGTTTAGAAAGTTAGGTAAAATTTAAAATTGGCCTTGGTTCGCTCTAACTGCGACAACAATATGCTGCGACAAATAGATCCTTCAATCTTTAGTCGAAAATCCAGCTGGTCTAATATTTACCGGTAGATTATTGGATGGAAAATTTCAATAATTGTAAAAAAATAATAATAATAAATTCCAATAATTTTTACAATTAATACTGGATAAAAAATATTGGGGAAAAAAAATAATAGACATATAATTGATCTGGTATTAAATCATCAGAAAGCAGAAATCTATAGAATTTGCAGATATAGTAACAATTTGTAACACGATACAGTCGTATCGATGACAGATACGTATCTCGATACATCCGATCGTTAATCATTCACGCGAACATCGAGTGCCACGTGAAAACAAGATTGAAAACCGCACGGATTGAAATCGCAATCTGTCGCGTAGAAAATTCAATTCCAATGCTAGTTTTGGTCGTTGATTATCTTCGTCTACTTCCATTCTTTTGTCCTCGTCTTCTTTTGTTTGGTATCGACAGGTTTACCATTCGAGGGATTAATTTAAAAGGATTAGCAGAAATTTTCCATTTCGTTTACCTGACAGTTTAAATCTTTTGTCCAATTTCAATTTTCAAACAAATTCTAAACAAGAAATGATGATAAAAATTTCTATTAAAAATATTCTCTTATCAGAAAATTGAAACGTGATAATCTTTGCGTAAAATACGAGAAACCGTGTATAAACGGTATTTCTTGTTACAAATTTCCGGTTGAATTTTGCGAAAGTTTCGCGAAAGCGTCGATGATAGTTTGATCTTTGAGGGAGATTTACATCGAGCAGCGTATAAAGCGAACGATAATGGCTGGCTTTGCCTAGCAAATTGGAATAGTTTACGGGGTGTCGGTCGTTGAAACAGCAAACTGTCGCGTGTTGTCATCGTTCCCTAAATTCGAGCGCTGCATTGTTCGAGGGGTTGTTTAATAGCCGACTATGAAATATAATCACCGAGAATAATTTAAACGATCGTTTCATTCATATTTCGCGAATATTTAGCAGATACATCAAGATGATTGTTTAAATCTTTAAAAATCGATAATATAATATAATTTTTGTGATCAATATTTTTTGCTAAAAAAAAAAAGAAAACAAGTAGTATCCAAACTATTCGATCTGAACAATTATTTTACGATCTGCTTTGCATGGATTATCGTATTTCTCGGAAGATGGATCCTTAACCTTGGACCAAGGGAAGGGATCCTTACTTTCTCTTCTTCCTTTCCAAACGTTGTCTAAAAATTTGTTCCCCGGTATTTTTGCCTCCCCTCCAGCGCAAAGACAACAGAGGCTACCTTTCCCGATAGCGCTGTCCATTGTTCAGTGTCAGTCAATCCGTGATCGGTGCTCGTGTCACTCGGTCATCGGAACGATTCGAGCTCTCTGCGATTATTCTTTCTGCTAGTGTTTTCGATCGATGAAATCAGTGTTTGCAAAACTTTGAACGTGACTATTTTTTCTTTTTTTTTTTTTTTCTTTCTTTTTCTACAATCTCATTCGTTTCTAAAAATTCAATCGCAGATTCGCAACAAGTTGTCGGAGAAAAATTTTTAGTGGTATCGATGGATAGATTTTTAGAAGATGATTTAACTGTAGTGTAACGTTTGAGCACAAGTTTACATCTTTTCCCCGATCAAAAACCAATCGAAATTCATAATTTGTCTTCAAAGACTACAAAGAGATCGACCTCTCGAGAAAATTTTTCGCGTAATATCTATCCGTAAAATTTCACAGTGGCCGAGATAACACACGAGACTTGAGCATCCTGATCTGTCTGGGATATCGATAATTTTATACGAAATTCTCAATTCCTCCTCGCGGAGCAGTTGTTCGCCTCGAAAACGGATAAGTCTTTTCGAATAACTTGGACCAGACTCGTTACTTGCGATCTCTCGATGAAGCGTCCAATTCTGTAAAAAAAAAAAAATCGCTAAGAGATGAAAATTGGAAAATTTACGATTCGAGATATTGATAAACTTTGAACACAAAGTGATCGAAAAAAAAAAGTTTTTTAACTTCGTGAACGAGAAATTTTGATCGAGGTATGAATTGAGAAAGAGATTTTTGAAGATTTGCGGATTGAGCAAAACAGTATTATAGTTTTAAGCAAATTTAAAGATGAAGCAACGTAGCCTGAAATTCTGGCAAATTTGGAAGGTTAAGGACAAAGCGATCACTTGTTCGGTCGAAGTGCGAACAAAGCAAAAATTCTCGAGAGGCAGGAGCATCTTGCAAAGTATAACCAGATGGTTCCAGTATATTTACAAGAAATTGCAAAATAGTATCGAAGTCTTTAAGTGTAAGTGAAAATCTTTAATTTCAGCATGGCATGAAAATTTGTCTCTCCCTTTGTTTATTAATTTCTTGTGTTTGTAAATTTAAAATCTTCCAACTCTTTTTTTTTTTCACATTTATACATATCAAAAAGTGTTCGAATAAATGAGAAAAATTCGAAGGGACATCCTCTATTTGCATAATTTCTCTCCGAAAAATTATCACGTGAATAATTTGTCAATAATGAAAGAGAATGAAATTAGTATCTTTATAACTGCGTGTACAGATAAAGTCTATTTGCAATGTTTTAACGTGCTTCGCTTATTTTAGAATTCCATGTACTATTAGTAGTTCGGTAGACATAAGATAACGTGTTGGGATATCATGCTTATTTACCGAGTTATCGAATTAAAAAACTTTATTGAATTTCTTAAATATCGGTATCAAGTTACCGATCCCTCTCTAGTGAAACTACAATGTTCATTCTTCCAATCCAGTTATCTGTTATCCAAAATACTATTTCAACATTTGCTCTCTTTATTCTCGAGACTTTATCTCGGTCTCGGTCAATACAATACTCTTACTTCTATCGATAATATTAATAAGCTAATCACAAAGTTTGGTATGAAATAATTATCGGTCCCGAATTCAATAAGAATCGACGAAAATTACGAGAAATTATTTTTTACAATATTTAAGATTATCTCTCGATCGAGGCTTCCGTAATTAACCCTTAATTATCACTTAACCCAATCATTCTACTTCTCTATTATATTATGAACAAATTCTTCTTGATCGAATTTTTTTTTTTTTTCTTGTCTGTCTACAGCCCCTCCAAGATTGCAAGCCCTTAGAAACCGTGACAATGGAGGTACAGGCTCGAGCATAAGGTCGTACGCCCTTCAACTAGCAGCGGACAAGACGACCACGTTCTCCCAAAACATTGACAATTTTATCCAATGCACGAAAGAAGGGAAAGAAGCCAGCCCACACGTGGTGATGAGAAACATGCGGCAATTTATGTCCGGGATGAAGAACTACCTGGTGAAACATGGTGAAAGAGAATTCGAGAAAGAGGTGGAGAAAGAAAGGCTGAAGCTGAAGCCAAACGAATTCTTGAATTTGGACGCTATTTTAGAAGGCGTGATGATGGGCTTAGTGGTCAGGCCGCTCAGAGAGCACGTTTACAGACTGTTTGTCGAGCATTACGCGGCTACTGGTTCGTTGCAAACCCTCGCCGAGAGCATCCAGCACGCCCAGGGGAAACATGTTCAGGATCTCGGTGTTCGAGTTAGTAAAAACCGAGTTTGTCGAAACGGTTCATTGCCTGCCAAATGGGAGTTGTTCTAGCTTAGCTCGTAATCGTAGCCACTTCTACGAGGGTGTAGCTTCGCTCGTTCCACGTGGCCACTTTTCACCGGCTATTTGTTAGAGTTTTAACGAAAACAAAAGAGGAAGAAAGAGAATAACGATTTTATTTATTTTTTTATTCATTTTTTATTCGTTTTATAAGAGAATAAAAGTAGGCTTTGATTTTAGCGTTAAATTTTGAACAATTACAATCCTCTAACTACTAACTCTTACTTGTCTATTTAGTGTTTTCTTAATTTCTTGGATAATTCATAAATTCGCAAGCTAGAACAATTCATAGAGGAGTTTAATTTAATCATAATTCGATCTTAAAATAAAATTAATAATATTAATATTGATTTGTTTGCAGCCAAAGATTATACCCCCATCGGAGTCAAGTTTAGAGCGGATCCTCAAGTACATTGATCGTCTTCAGAAAGCGGATTCGCCTCTAGACAAATTGGAAAATCTTCTAGCAGCGATTTCAGCGATTTTCAACTCCGTAAGTCGCATTGCAATCTCTTATCGTGTAACAAAGCTTTCTTATTCGAGATAAAGGGAGATTTATTAAACGTTATTAATTATAATAATTTTCCAGGTGAAGCACGCAAATTCTGGCAGACACGTAACGCTGGGCGCAGACGATCTTCTTCCCCTTTTAGTTTGGGTATTGGTTCGTGGCAAGGTTGTGGACGCTGAGGTGGAAGCTGAGTACATGTGGGGTTTGCTTCATCCCTCTCTTCTCACTGGTGAAGGGGGATATTATTTGACGACCTTGTCCAGCGCGGTTCACGTTTTGAAGACGTTCAAGTCCAGCCAGGGAACGATGTCCACTTTAAATGTAAGTGATTTTGCCGATGTTGCCCTCTGAAACGTTACAATAAATTTCAATAATTATTTATTATGCGAATTATTATGCAAAGTGTAGAGAAAGTTTTTGTTATTATATATTTTTTTGTAAACAATTATTATTCGGATTTATCAGGGTTGTGGAACACCAGACTGTTCATCCGTACTACGAATTTTAGTACCAGATGAACTGCATGGATCCCTGAACACCAGAACGCTACCTGTACGGCCAAATATGAACACAAGAGAGATTTGTCGCATTCTTGCACATAAAATCAGATGCACCAATCCTCAGGACTATGGATTGTTCAAATTGGTCCAAGGGGAAGGTGAGAATTCATTTTATCGGAATTATTGCAACAATTTTTACAATTTAAAAGAGATAATTTACAAGAGATTTTTTTTTATTTTATTATAACACATTTATTACAAATTCCTTAATATTTTTTGGAATGGATATGTAAAATTTCATTTCACAATATTAAATGTTTTATTCATTTTCAAATTATCTATTGAATAAAGGCACGACGTGCAATTAATGTAAAAAAGATTAGAAAATTAACAGATTAACTAGAGATTTATCAAATTAGTAACTAACTACAAAAGCTGTAGAATTAAATAATTAGAAAAAAGCTTTAATTCGACTACCAGTATTTACTAACCTGTGTCATTCTATACATAAAAACACATTGAAGAAATACTATATATTATTTCATTGTTTTGTGTTATAGAAACCTTACTCGGCGACCACGAGTGTCCACAAGAGCTCTCTCACTGCCTTTTCGCTTACAAGCGGATTGACGCAAAGATAGCCTGGCCGAAAACCAGTTCTTAATAATAAGCCTTGCGAACAGAAGGCTACTTAGGGGAAACGATATCGATTTCGTGGTGACAAGGCGTAATAAATTTGAAGCACCTCAAGTCTTTAATTGTCATTATTAATTTCGTACTAGCACCGTGTTTTCTTTCAATTGTTTCATTCTTTACATCTTTACATGGAGTTTTGAATGGAGTATCGAATTTTTCAATCTCGAGCACAAAATCTAACTTTTAAAACGTATACTGCCAGATATAGCTAGCTTTCGACTGATCATCAATGTAAAAGAAATTGAAAGCGATCAAGATTTAATTTAAGAAAAAAGAGCGAAATGAATCACGATAACGTAGATCTATACTCTTATTATGTATTCGATATTTAAATTATTGTAATTGTCATTATTATATTGGTTATTTCTTAATGTTAAAAAAGTACTGCCCATTTATATGATTAATTTCAGAAAACAGCTGCGACTATCCAAAGATATTCTAAATTATGTGCTAGAGCTAGAGAGAGTGATTAAAGTGCAATCTAGTAGTGCAATGTCTAGCTGGACAAACGATCTCAAAGAATGATTTTATTGAATGCAGCTGAAAAATTCAATCGAAAAGGCAGAATGCGATCGAACGATCAATATTCAATTCGCATTTAATTTACTCGCGAACAGGTGCTAGAGAATCGAATCGGAGCTTCGCGCAATTCGGTTCGTTTGTTAAAAACTGAACACGAGATCGAATAAATTTCCGCCGAACGACCGTTTCTCCTTCGTGAAAAATATAAAAACGAAGAAAAAGAATCGTGTATTACTCAGTATTCGATATTTTGCGAAACTCTACGATAACGAAGTTACTAATTATTAAGTCTCGTTAGTAAAATAGGATTCGAATCGAAGGAGTTATTGAAAATTTCTCACATTAGAAAAGAAAAAAGACAAAATTTTTAATCTTTTACTCAACACACAAAATAAATTATAAGTATTCTTCCACTTCGAAACCTACTTTACAAGAGGATATTGTACGTTTTTTATGAATGGGATGAAATCTCTAAAATAGAACAACCAAATGTCTCTCTCATGTTTTTAAATTTTATTCCAGATAATATTACGAAATTAAGTTATAGATGTAGTTATTATTATATTTTAATATTTTAATTTTTAATTGTTTTTATCCAATATAATTCTTATATTTTATAATTTCACTCTGTTTCCTAATATTTTATTATAAATAAATAATTATAAATATAAATAATTTTTTAACAATTTTATCTTGAATAAATTATTTATATATATATCAAAAAAAAAAGAGACATCTGGATGGTCTCTGTTAGGGATGATTCAAGCCTAAAGTGTAATCGAATAAAAATCATAGGGAATCATTTTCCCCTCTTGATACAAATTTATTATTAGACTTAGAAGCACGGAAAGCTAGTTTAGATTCTATTTTAAGTACTTTCTTGACGAGACGTTGGCGGATTATACAAGCAATTTATACTTTAAGCGGACGTCGCATATTTATTGGGAAGTTGTACACAATATTTTACTATCATCATTCATCGGATATTTTCTTTTTTTTTTGTCGCGCGAGCGCGTGTCGCTTCTTCCTTTTTTCGAAATCTGCCAGGCTGATTTGCTTACCTAATATTATTATTATTATTATTATTATTATTATTATAAAAGGCTGTGGAACTAATTAATCTCACTTCAGAAATGAGTAATAAAATAATGACCAGAGTTCGATCATGTTTGTTTCCGGGGCTTGTATGGGAGATGAAGGGGAACGGGGGGGAGGGGAGGGGGGGGGATAAGTCGTGGAGCAAATATTTTACTACTGAAACTCTCGTACAAATCAGCCTTGCAATTGTTATTATTATCTTAATAAGAAAATAAGAAACAAAAAAAAAAAAAAAACGAAAAAAAGGTGAAAAATAACACGATGTGTAGCCCTCGATGATACGTGTAATGATAATAATTATTAGCGATTTATAAATGTACATTTCTCCTTTATATATGTCGTACCTAATTTATTACGAAGCGAATTTTTAATACCCGTGTAACGTCGTAATTAATAATCCCCTTCAGCATTGAACGTGCTTTTCGATTTCCCCCGAATTCAATTGATTACGATTAATCGTAACGTTAATGCTTCTAATATGCTAGTCAAGCCGATACAAATCAGAAGTTCGTAAAAGAATACCGTTTCCTCTTTCTCTCTCTCTCTATTTCTCTCTCTCTCTCTCTCTCTCTCTATTTGTCCCCCTTTCGTGAATGTAATATCTCACGTGATAGTTTCCACTTTTGAAAAAGAAAAAAAAAAATATCATTGATTATCAATTATGCTCATCTTTATTACCGATTATTATTAATATTGTAACGTGTAACACTATGCTCAATAAAAACTTTTCTATAATTTGAACAAGTGGATGGAATAATGCTAATGTGGTCTAATGAATAATTACGTAATAAAATTTCATATGGTATTTATACTTTTTTTTTTTTTTTTTTTTTTTTTTTTTACAGTAATTGAATAACTCTACGATTAAGAAAGAACAAAATAGATTTTTTTATTCAGAATAATTATACGATTGATTTAATAAAAAGTTAACGATATGTGTCGTATTTGCATTAAAATGTTTCATTTTGATATTATAAAAGCGCGTACTCGTGTCGTCTGACAATTAACATGTCCGAACAAAATATTATCGATAAGCACAAGCTGTCGATATTTATAACTACGTTTTAACGTTATAAATAACTTATCCAATTCTATCAGCTTATGGTGTTGAGAACGAGATAATTGTACTTACTATATATGATTTTTAGGCTTGAATTTTTGCTAAAAATTATAAAAAGCGATATTATGGTATTAAATATAGGATAAAAAGTTTGTACAAAAGCATAAAAAGTTGACAAAAAAAAAAAATTTTTAAAATCAAAAGAGTTTAAAGTGGGAAACTAAAAAATACAAAATCAAAGAAAAACAAACTAAAATTTATTAGCAACGAAATTTTAATAAAATTCTAAAAACACGATTACAACATTGCTTAAAAATGCATATTTTTGAAATATTCTTTGCAATAAAAAATATTTGCATGCTTTCCACGCGAAGGAGGCAGATGAACAAAAGGGAATTACAAGTGGAAATATTTATTATAAATCAAAACTTACATATTATTTAAATAACAGTACTTGCACCTGAGAGCTACAATACCTTAAATAGTTTAGACAGAAAAAAGCAACTACTTTAAACGATAAGTAAATATTAAAAATCTTATTTCTAGTATTTCTGTTTCACGTATATTTCTTGATTATAAAGTAGATCATTTATCAACTGTGTTTTATATTTAATGTCACTTAGGATAAAAAGGATAAATTTTCTCAAAGTAAAAATAAAAAAAGAAAATACTAAAACCTTCTTTATACTACAAAATTACTAAAATATCTAATAAATAATAAAAGTATAAGATAAGTAATTAAAAGTTACGCATATTTCTTTTGTCACTTTCTCAAAGATACATATGCATTAAAAATAAATCTCCAATAAAATTTACCGAACAAATGTTTAAAATTTTTTTACCAAACATCACAATACAAATTGATTAAAAAATTCATATATTCATACTTCGCTATTAATATAATTATTTCTTGTTCAAAAGTTAAAGTAAAAATTAAAAGTGATATAGACGTATATACATATACACATATATAGTGCAAATTTATAAAGAATCTTAATTTAATTGCACATTGATTGCACTTAAAAGTTTCATTAAAATTCATTGATTGGTCGATACGATTGTAGAAATATTACTTTTTGAATGCGCTACATAATGCTAATTAAAATATAGAAAAGCAAGAAAAGAATTTTTCTCTCTGTTAGAGACAATTATAAAAAGAAAATATATAAAATATAAAGCTGAATAAAAACTACTAATTCTAGGCCTTCAAGCTCTCAGGCGCAGAATATGATAGCGTATATCAATAAATGCATGTTTTTTCAGGATAATGAGAGCACACATGAAAATCAAATAAAAACATGTACTATGAAAATGAAGAAAATTAACGCTAGAGGGGAAAAATGATTACTTAAAAAACGACTAAGAATCATCATAGATGGACGCAAAACTAAATACCGAGATTGTATCCGTAAGTCTCCGTAATAAAAAGTGAAACCTAGCCTCGCGATCGGGAATTGCACGTAAATCGAAAACGAATCATCATCATCGCTACGACTGTAAATGATTAATATACACCGGTATTTCGAGGTGCAATCTTAAATCTTTTGAACTAGGCCAGTCCAATAGAACTCACGTTACATATATTTTTGCTCGCTTAAGCGAATTTTTTTTTTTTTTCTATTTCAAAAGATTTTTTTTTTTTTTCTTTTTTTCCTAATTATTCAACATATACATGTGAATATTTAGTTTAGTTATTATTATATTTAGTTTAAGAATATTGAACAAGCAAGCAGCAGCCATTGTAAAAAGTTTTTTTTTTTTCTTCTTCATTTTGTTTGTTCGTTATTCTAATACAACAAGTATTATATAATAATCGGTCAGAATTCTGCAAGATTATTTCATTCGTTGTTATCAAGCAATAATGGAAGTAAAAGATTACTCTCGCTACTTTCTGTCATAATATTTCTAAACACAATTATAATTACTTTCCATCGACAATTGTACCATGGAAGCAATTATAATTACAACATTAATTAATTATTAATTGTTATTGCAACAGTGGTATTCCATGCTTGTATTCAACGAGTGGTTAGAGCAAATAATATCACCATGGTAACTGAATGTATCAGACAGTATAACAATATTATGTTCGAAACAAAAACGTGAGATCTTTAACTTGAACAAGGATAAAATGTACCAAGGACTCGACTAATTCAAACGATCATCATTCTGCGTCGTCGTAACTGTTCAAACGATCAAATAATTTCAGACTCAGTTTTTAATTCACAGCCGGTTACAATATGATTCTTGGCTTTTGAATGCATACGATGTTTAAAGCGGAATATACAAATTTGTCAAAAGACGAATTCTCGTTTTGCGCGCTTTAATAAAACAGGCTACAGAGAAAAAGAAAAGAATGAAATTTTTCTTTCTTTCTCTTCAAAATAATTTAAATAATAATTACGATCTTATAATACAATATATGTATAATAATCATCATGCTTGCACTGATCATCAGTATATACTGCTGTATCGTCGTTTAAACAACGAATCGAACGCAGAGAGAATAAATTAAATATTTGCGAATACGTTAATATATAAGTACTTAAATGTACAATTATAAATAGGGCAGAGAAATCGACGTGGCCGGAAAGATAAATCTTTTCCAATATTGTTTATACGTTATTCTCCGCATAAATAAATTCCGAGAGACAAAAATGAAAGGGAAAGCGCAGTTTCTCCCCCTTCTAGCTTGTTTTACACTCTTTTTAATATGACGATGAATATACTCGCATTATTCTAATGTGCACGGTGTAATGTGTGTCTCTCTGTGTATGATGTGTAGGAAATACATTCAATAATGCTAAGCGACATACAAATGTTCCTTCTATGTTTAAATGTGAATCCTTTTTTTCATCCGATTCTTATCGAACTTTGATAAAGAGAAGCTAGAACTCGTGGAATGATTACACATTGTCACGTTACTCCAATCATAATGGGTATAACGACCCAACGAAAAGGATATGTATATGACGACCTGATTAGATGCATGTAGATGCAAATATGGATTCATAGCATATGTACTATACAATGCGAAGAAAGAATCGAATACATGACGGTTTTTTTTTTTCTTTTAGGTCAATATAATCGTTTGCAGCGATGAATATCCTCTGCTCTTCTGTTGAAAAGTCTAGAAACGCAAAAAAAAAAAAAAAGGAAAAAAAAACGATTGGCTTGAATAGGATTTTTGATTCAGATACATTCTCGAAGCAATTCGCCTTATACTCTGTGTCTCTTTTCCTTGCTTGCTATTTCAAAAACAGTCAGTCGCTAGCATATCTTAAATCGTCACCGTATTGAAAACGTCAGCAACATGAAGTAGTTGTTTCTTTATACGATGCGTCTTATTAATCGAGAAAAGCAGCTGGAATGTGCTGTTATACGTAAAACGATTCGGATAAAATGGACATCGAACAATGTTTCAACTAAACAATGCAGAGCCCTTGTGTTATCCTGCCTGTGGTATCGTTTCGCGTATAGCTCTCTTACGTAGTATCCCTTACTGTGCACGAACATAATACTTCCGGTCCTGAAACATAAGAGAATAAAAGCTTTTCTAGAGTGATTTGAAGAAAATCTCAAGAATCTCGTGCCTTCAATGCAATTTATTTATTTTTTTTCTATCGATAATGAAATCTGACAATGGAATTTAAATTGGAATTGAAATTAAAATTAAGAAAATTTTCAAATGATCGCTATTGACCGATTGATAAACTAATTTCCTATTAAAGACACAAGATCTGTATGAAATTCTGATGAAAATATTTCAAAAGCTGAAAAAAAAAAAGAATGATATTAATTCATGTGTATTATGGCAAGCAAAACTCGATATTAAGTATCAAGAAATAATATTTCTTTTTCACAGTAATTAATTACTGCTCGCACAAAGGGTGATTCCAAGTATATATACACAAGCCAAATGTTACAACTTCCCATGCTATCTACAGGTTTTACATAATAGGAGCAGTAATTAATCTTCTCGACACGGAACAATGATTCTCAATCGTTATCTAAAAGAAAAAAAAAAAAAAAGTCATATAATATTTAAGAAACAAAGAAAAAGGGTAGTGAGTTGAACGATGGTATACATTGGTGATTGATAATGAATACAAAAAGAATTAATAATGATAATGAACTTGTCAGTGCATCGACACAAAACATTAAAGAGTGAAAAATAAATAAAAAAAAAGGGGGGGTGGGGGGAGAAATTAAAAATTGTTCTACAAAATCTACGAATACGCACCTTCTACAAAGACCCGGTTTCTAGTTTCGTCCCGGTATTTTGTTGTCCAGACGAAATCGTACTCCAGAGTGACATCCTGTTATCTAAGTCCCGGCCCGCAGAGTACTCAAATCAAAGCGAAACAAAACGACAACGCAGATATCGAAAAAACGAATGGTAACAACGGTGGTTAAGAACACAAATGGCGTGCGAGGAAAATTAATAATGCAAACCTGTTATATACGCATTCTCGATACAGAAAGATTTCTACGCATTATTTGGTTATAAATAACAAATAACAGAAAGGAACACAGACACGTGATGTATGGCAAGGAAATCCCATGGTATACGGTATACATCGATGAATCGAGTAACAACCAGGAAATCATGTTCAGTTAAAAAATAATTTATTCGTTCGTTATTCATTAAAATCTCAAGGCACTACTTATATACTTGAATAATCCAGCTTTCATAATAATTGATCATCAAATTTAGAAACATTGTACCATATAATCGAATAATAATATTATTATCGAATAGGATATTTTCTTTACTTATTTATCTTTATTTCTATCTAGATTGGAAAAATCTAAAACGCAGTATAAGACGAAGAAAAAATAGGATACAAGGTGGCCCGAATGAATAAAGTCTTTTTCTTTTTTTTGCATGTTCTTGAGATCTACTTTTTAAAATATATTCGTTTGTTCAAATAAATAAGGATCGTTTAGAACATACGTGTAAATATGTAAATATGTATACATAACATAACAAATTGCACGAAATTGTATTCGTAACAAATGCATAATACTCTTCGGAAAAATGGTACAAAAAATTTCGAGTCACCTCGTATCAAGTTAAAAATAAAATAGGATATAATCAAATGTAATCCTAATCCAGATGAAATGTTTTGCTTTCTT